CCGCAGTCTCTCTTCCTCCACATGTACTTCCTCATGTCTAGAGACCCTTTCCTGACTTATTCCACTACTCAGTGCAGACAGCTTGCTTTGAGCATTGCAGGCTGCATGGAGAGGTTGTCGCAGGAAATCTGGGGCCCGAGCATCATGCCCTTGTCTTGTTCTTGCAAGCCTCAGATGTTAGGACTGTCAGGTATAAATCATCTATAAGCACTTATGAGGAAAACTCAGAAAGCAGAGACGTTAAGTTCTTCTCTCTTGTTGGTTAGATACAAGGATGAGACTGTCACTCAGGACAAGCACCTTGATTTCCATCTGGCTTCCTTAGAGGGAGCAATGTCCTTCAAGCTCCGAGAGCTGGATGGTACAGTTGCCTCCTTGGCAAGCTGAACAAATGGGCCACAAAATGCTGCTCTGAGTCTCCAAGGCACATTACAGGAGGGAGCCAGTTGTTTCCTCTGTGTGCCCAGAACATGGGAGGTAGAGTCCTGGAAGCTTTATACTAGGGGATATCCTTGAGACTAGGAAAGGGTCAGGGGACTTTGTAGCCCTACTCACTGAGAGTCAAATAGGAGACCATCATATCAGCATGAAACAGGGCCTTGGAAAGAATCAAATAAGATTCCCTTTAAATTACGATGAAATGGATCTTAGAATTGAGATAAGAAGAAAGCTGTAATAATAGGAAACTGTTAGTGGAAACGAATCTATCAAATACCATTTCATTGACCAATGTAAGCATAGCGCCAGGAAAGAATGACAACTTGTTTGTTGTCTTAGGGGGAAATGAACTACAATTTGAAAGGAGAAAAATATTTCAATATGGTTTTAATTAAAAAATTTTAAATTCAGTAATGAATTATTTTATCCTTTAATCAGAAGCCATAGGCTGTAGAATTGAGCAAAGTAAACTTTCATTTATTGTCTTAGCAACTCTGCTTGGTCCAGTGACTACACTAGGACCCATTTATATCACTGATGACAAATTTTTAAATGCCATCTGGTCAGAAATCATTCATACAGAATTTTTCATTTTGAACAGATTCCTTTTTCAATCTAAGCAAAGACTGGGAGGAAAAGATGGGGGAAGTGATAGAGAGAAAGAGAGAATAAAAAACAAAGGGAGAGAGAGAGTAAGAGAAGGCATAAAGGGCGATCAGAACTTGGACTAAAGTAAGCTAGGACAGAGTTTCCTAGAAACACTAATTCCTGAAGCCAGAGTGTAGCTTGATGGTAGGTATGCACAGTGGGAAGCCCTGAGTTTAGTCCCTAGCCCAAAAAGAAAGAAAAGGAGAGAGGGAGGGAAGGAGGGAAGGAGGAAAGAGGAAAGAGAGAAAGATGAGGAGAAAGAGGAAGAGAAAAGATGAGGAAGAAGACAAGAGGAGGAAGAAGAGGAAACAAGAAAAGAAAATATTTTTTCACAACTGTACTGAGGTACAGATGACATCCAGGAAGCTGCACACATTCCAAATGTGTGATTTGTTCAGTTCTGACACACGCATCCACCAGAACCGTCACTGAACAGAGTTCACAACTTCTATCTCTCTCTAAGCCACTCTCCCCACCACAGCCCTTCCTGTTTCCCTACTTCTTCACACAATGAGGTTGAGTTTTAATATTTTATATGGTCACATAATATCACACCATATGTTCTATTTTATAGCATGGTGCTTTTCGGCATAATCGAGATTTGTATATATTCTGTGTTATCAGTAGCTTTTTCTCTTTGGTACAGACATGTTTCCACACAGATGTCCCAAGGCTGACCAAACTTGACTTGCCTGGAGACTGTCAGCCATCCTAACAGAGCATCTCCTCCAGATGCAGCCGTACCGTCCCCCTCCCTCTCCTCATGTCTAGTCATCACAGGCTCCTGCCAGCAAAGTGTGCAAACATCTTCCTCATGCATCCATTGCTTTGCATTTCCATGGCTACCAAACAAACAAAGCCATTATAATCTCTTTCCCAACTTTGTTGGAAATCACCCTGTGTCCATTCGTTTCTTCATTTCAGCAAACCCCATGGGACGGCCAGGGTGATTTCTTCCTAAAACAGGATCTCTCCAATTGCAGTTCCAAGTCTTATTTAACATAATTTTGTTACCCTTAGGATTTGAGGACAAATCTTTGACTCCATTTAGTTGAGTGGTTCCTACTGACCTCTCTATGGAGACTGACCTCTGGGTTAGTTACCAGAGCTGCTAGTGACTCATGTCACTCACACTGGTTCTAATCCCTCTGGTGGTCCCCCATCTCCACTCAGAGCTCAGCAGTAAATCACAGTTTCTACTGTTAGGATACTATTGGAAGCTATTATTTTGGAAGCCAATGTTATAGGATATTATTGGAACATTATTTTAATGTTAATATTTATTTTTCTCTTTGAGAAAAAAATCCTCCTTAAGTACTCCAGGCTACACTTGAACATAGAAGTCCCCTCTCAACCCTACACCACCACCTCTGTAACTCACCAAGTGCTGGGGTTAGGGGCTTCACCCACACATTGGGTTCAACTACCACCATTTTCAACCATTTCATCTGAACTGTTGCCACAGCAAGGAAGGAGAAAGTTAATTTAAATTCATTCATATTTTTCTTCCTTTCTCTTCCCTCCCTCCTTCTCTTCTATCTCTCTCCTCCCATTCAACTGTTTTTCTAAGTATTCCTTAGCCTGTATGATGGCTTCTAGAATAAATCAAAGCACACACCTGGTTGTCATATCCCTTCTACTATCTGTCCATTATGATTACAATACAACCCAAAGTCCTCTGACTGACCACAGGTCCTGCTTGATCCGGTTCCTGGTCACACTCTCCCCTCATCCTCTACCACTGCCTGCCTCTTCCTCCCTACTGCAGCCCTGACATCTTAACCTTCTGCTCTTGACTCAACACATCCCACTGAACGTCTCTTGGGATGCTTTTCCACCTTCTGAATGGCTGGCCCTTATCATCAGAACTCTCTGACCACTTTTCCTCTTCAGGGAGAATTGTTCTCCATCCTGTTGCTTAGTTTTTGCTTTCTGTTCCTCTCAGTGGCATCCCACCTCACTTACATCAGTCTCTACAACAGATGGCCTGCAGGGCAGGACCACACACCAACTGGCCATCTGGTCCTCCACAACCTCATCTCTTTTCCATTCTCTTTATGACGCCCAGGCCACACTAGTACTAGTTTCCTTGATTTTTTTCCATGCTTTCAAGGGCTGTCCTAACTCAAGACTTTAAGGGTATCAACCTCTCTTTCTAGGTTATTCTCATGTAAAACTCCTAACATCGTTGGATCACTCCTGGCATTTAGGTCTGACTCATGTGCTGGTCATAAGGTAGATCTTTTTCCACAGCCCTAGTTAACATAGAAACCCTATGAGCACAACCATTACACTCTACCTTCATCTTTTTTTTTTTTTTACAGGGTTTTTCTGTATAGCCCTGGCTGTCCTGGAACTCACTCTGTAGACCAGGCTGGCCTCGAACTCAGAAATCTGCCTGCCTCTGCCTCCCAAGTGCTGGGATTAAAGGTGTGCGCCACCACTGCCCGGCTACCTTCATCTTTTATTCTTTCTCAAAACCCGTCACTCAGCATGTTAACTACATGGTGTACTGGCTGTTTTCTGTGGAGTACATGTGCCATCATCCCGCAGAGCAGCAATCCTTTCCATCCCTGCTGTTTACATTGTTCTTTGACAAAGAACACATAGTTTCCCATTGTGTATTGGAGCTATCTGAAGTTAATTTATGTGTCTAATTTACATCTTCATGTCTCTACCACTTTGCCCTACAGCGAATCCTTAAAGACACGGCTGTGTAGAGGAAGAGAGATTCATTCAGTCATTGTTTAAGATCATAACTGATTTTAGTGTCTGTATTTTCAGATCTCCCCAAACACTTTCTCAGAAGTCCCAGTCAATCCTGTGTTATACAAACTATAAACAGATAAAAAACATAAGAACAAAACCAGAAAGTGGTCTTGGTGGTACATGATATTCAAGAGATAGAGGCAGGAGGATCTTTATGTGTTCGAAGTCAGCCTGACCTCCATTGTAAGTTCTAGGACAGCCAGTGTGACAGTTACACCCTGTCTTTAAAAGGAGTGGGGGTGGAGGGATTGGGGGGGGCCACAGCCCATCATTAGAGGGGTCTCCACTGAGAATGGACACTTGCTGAGACCTTCCTCCACTTCCACCCAGGGAGAAAGCAGACTGGCGCAAAGGCCATCACACTAGGCTACTTCTCTGTTCACCCTAACTGGAGTGTCCCCTACTGGGCTGGTCCAGGAAGTCTTACACAATGGGAGGAGAGAGGAAGTGCAGTGAGGGTTGAAGTAAAGACGGAGAAGGTTGTTACAAAATAAGCTGGCCCCTTTACCGTTTGTGGAACTTAATAGATCGGGATTGATCCACTCGACGTGAAAATAAACGGAAGACAGACCTCAACAGAAGCAGAGGGTCCTTTCACTAGAACAATGAAGAGCGGCAGTCTTGGGGGAAGTGGAGGCTGTGCAGACACTCAAGGAGCTTGAGGGTTTCATGGGGCAGAAAAGGAAACTTTTGGGGTGGACGATTCCATCTGCACATCTGTTCCGCTCAAGTCTCAAAGTTGTAACCAACAAAGGTTGATATTTTGATCTGCTTGGAAACCTCCCAGCCCCTAACTGCCTGCAGGTGTTACCAACTGGTGAACTCTCCTGTAGGGAGTTTCTCAGCTAATCTGAGACTTTTAGCCCTGCGCACTCCTTGAGCATTAACCCCTCAGACTAGCATCTGGGCTTTAGTCTCAGACTCTTACAGAGAGCACAAAGACCCACACAGGTGAGGAAGGCTTTCCCTAACCTTAGGGCAGGAAGTGTTTTCTTCCAGGGGTGGACAGGGGTTGGAAAAAACAGCCCAAACTTGCCAGACTTGCGGAGCCCCTTAGGCGGGGCTTGGTGTCTGTCTCCTCTCCTCCAGGGCTCTGCTTGCTAGTACCTCGGTGCAAAGCCGGGAATCTGCGCTGGGTGGGCAGGGCTCACAGCACTTCCTCCCTGAGCCCACGTCCTCGCCTCGAGGCCGGCCCAGCCCAGAGGCGCCAACCGCACATCTCTGCTCATTCCGGTGCACTTCAGCTCAGCTCGGCTCAGCTCGGCTCAGCCCCAGCTTCTAGGCTTGCCCCCAACCCCCGCTCGGCATCCCGGCTCAACCCCGAGCATCTCCACACAGCTCCCCTCAGCTGTCGAGGTAAGTGGCACCCTAGCCCTGCGCGCGGCTTTGGGGCACTCGGGCTGCCACGCTGCATGTCCTGTGGGGTGCATGTGGGGGGAACAATGTGGCATAGGTCCACGCACCGGCCACGTGAACCCCACCCCCCACGCAGCCAGGAAGCTTCGAGTCCCCTGTACACCTCTTGCGCACTTGGCCTCTGCCAAGCCTGGGGCTCCCTCTTCTCTCCCATGCGTTCTGTTTTAACAGATTTTCTGCTTAAGAAATGCTACCAAGTCTCAGGAACCCCACCTTAAACTGAGCTATCTTGAAACAAAACACCCCTGAGGCATTTCAGGGTACCTCACGTTGAGTGGTAGTCTGAGGAGACTTGTGAGAGTCAGAGGACACATAGCTCAGAGTGTTTCCCTTCCTTTAAAACTTTAAGTAAAAGCAATTCTGCTTTTTGAAGACTGTCTTTCCCTCTCAGTCTCCTTTTCTTTGTAAAAATGTGGTAAGGATGAGTTTGAATACCAGACATGGGTTTCCTAATTTAGTTTGGAGTGAAGATGCCGAAAATGCTTTAAATCATGAAAGACAGGGATGCCCTTGTATACCATCACCACCCCCAGATCTCCCAGTACAGGCCCCTCGCTCAGACCTTACCACACATGCCTCTTCATTCCACTCCGCAATGGATTTCTTGGCTTTCATACCTCGGTGCAGAGTGACACGTGCTCTCCCAGAGCCTCTCAGCATTTTTGTGATAGGAAGGCTGAGTAAAAGGGGAATATAGAGCAGATAAAAAGCTGTGGGTTTTATCCTCCATACAAGAGTGATACAGTGTGAACAAAAGCAAGCGCACACACTCTACTGCTTGTTTTTAAAATCTGGGAGTCCAAACTGAAACTTCAGAAAGCCAGCCTTGGCTTTCAAACTAAACCAGGAGTTTTGCCTCTGGGCCTCCCTAAAACACAGGCACACGGGCCTGGAGAGGAATGCTGGCTAGCAAGATAGCAGAAGATAGAAAAAGAGTCCTTTGTACTGAATATCCTTCCAGGTGGTCTGTTCAGTGAGCTCAGAGTCTAACGAATGTAATGTCAACTTCAAACTATTAGCACTTAACTTTTACGTTCTTACAAATATTTGTGACTTTCTGGTACTTGGTAGATTCTGGTTGTTGCTATACATCTATCGGATACTATCTAGACAGGGATGAAGTTAAGTATATTGTTTTAACCACACTGGAACTCAAGTCGTCAGTGATATTATACCATATAAGAATGGAGACAGTAACAGCGCTGGGAGTCAGGTGGATGCTGCTTCAATCTTGTATTCAACATGAGGGGGGAAAGGAGGATATGCCAACGGACTTTGTTACAAGCTGAAATGTAAACACTTTTGATGGGTTTTGTTTCTGAGAATTTCCTCTAAAAAGGCAAAGTAATTTCTGATCTCTATGTAAGTTGCCAACATTCCATTGTATTGCATTTGAACAGCCCGGAGTTAACTATTTTTTGAGAAATGTAACTTTGAACTGTGTAGTTAATTACACACACTCACTAGGCTCTGTAGCACCCACTACATTTTCTTGGAAGTTTTATATTCTGAGAATGTATACCCGTTCTTTACTATAGTTTCACCATATGTCACAGATAGATTAAAAAAAAAAAGCTCTAGATATTTCCATATTACATAGTAAGCAATTTATAAAGTTCATTGCCATGAATCTTTGCGTTGTGCTACTTTAATTTCTCAAAAGGCATTGTTGCTTTTTGTGACTATTTATTTCTAGTCCCTTTCTATATCATTTTACCTACTTTGATAAGTAAGCCTTTTAATGAATCTACAATTTCTTAGAACAAATTCAATTTGTGTCTGTAATCTATCAACATTTACAACATTACCGAACCTCACAAGTGATCTTAGGAACTTTAAAAATGGAGTAGTCTAAAATAAATAAGACAAACATGGACATTATACACATAATTGGAAGGCAATTTTATGCAATTTTTTTGGATAATTATGTGTGAGAAAAATGTATATTGCAGCTAAGTGTCTGGGTTGATGAATAAATTTTGTGTTGTAGGTCTGTGTCTGGACTCTGACATGTCCCGTGAGGTTAGATTAAGCCTCAGGACTGAATTTTTTTAATTAACATGATTGATCCTTTCAATATGAAAATTTGTGTTTTGTATCAATTCTCTCATCTCAAATAATAAGTATCTTAAAAAGGTCAAATAGTATATGAGTTCAGAGTAGATGATTACATTGTATATACATTGTAAATATACATTGTAAGATTTAAAGGTATTTGGCAAGGACACTGGTTGTACTCTGATGTATATATGCTTTATAGTTATATCAGAGAATTAACTTTCAAAGGTAACTTAATACATCTGAAAAAAAATAGTACTTCCATAGGGAAATGAGGAGAGCAACGCTGAGACCTGATGCCACTGCTACCAGTTCAAGAGATGGGAAGGCAGGGCTTGGGGACAGCTAGGGACTAGAGGCTATAACTGCCACCCTTGTGTGCCTACTTCCCAGCCAAATTCTGTCACTACCATTGAGGCTCAAAATGTCTCAAGCCCCAAGACCCAGTTTGCTCACTGGTCCCAGTTTTGAGGTGGTAGAGAAGATAAAATACCATACCAAGCTTCATACTCCTCAGTCCAGACTCAGGAACTTCTAAAGACTAAATCTCCTGTGAGCTGACTATAAACCTGAATCACTAAGAACCATGTTAGGAAACCTATTTCCTTCTTTCTCTTGCATCTTGGGTTCCCTTTGGATCACCATGTGGCAGTAGTATATAATACTTATTGTTCATTTTAGCAGGTAACAGCTTATCTAAGTTCTTGAGACCAGAAGTTTCATTTTTTGAATTTTGCTGTGGGGGGGGTGTAGGGGATAGAATGTTTGCATATATAAGAAATATCATGATGATCAATTATGAGCATGAAACTCATTTGCTTCATATGCACCTTATACAGATAGTTGGATGGTACTTTATGCAATGTCGTAAATAATTCTGTACATGAAAAAAGTTTATGTATTTCAGCTAAGGGAGATAAGGAATATTTACCCCCTTGAGAAGACTAAATAAATTCTGTGTTCTGTGCCTATATTTTTGACTCTGAACTGTCACATGTGGTCCCTGTGGAATTTTCTGTTTGTGACATCATGCTGGTGCTCCAAAATATGTCAATTTGTAAGATCTAAGATTTGGGGTCTTCAGAGTTAGAGATGCTTAACCAGACCCTGAGCTGGCTTAATTACTATGTGACTGGCTAATCTTCACATCTAGGCTTGTACTACTGTAGCTCCTCTTTGCCACTGAAATGAAAACACAGACAGGTTAAAAAAAAAAAGTATGTAGCCAGTAACATGGAGGAGAGCTGATACTGACCTGGAGAAGTTTGATAACAGCACCCTACATCAAGCACAGGTGCTCAGATGAGGCAAAAAATGGGGCCAATCCTCAGTGGCCTTGTAGCCTAGAAGTGGGGAGAAAAGCAGACAGTGGTAATTCTTCATGAGACTAAAGTTGCGTTCTGTGTGACCACATAACAGGCCAGAGGGGAAAAGGGGGATGAATGGAAGAGAGCCAAGCAAAGCAAGCAAACTTGTGATAGATGGAAGGCAGATAGCATCCTCAACTCTAAAGTTATTGCCTCTGTTTGGAAAAGTAGTCTCCTTTGGCCCAATCCTGATTTCATTCTTTATTATATCCGAATTCCTCTAGGCTTCCGGCTTGATTAAATTAACAGCATAGTAAGTCTAATCCTTTCTCTAACTCTACTGGAAGTCTTTCTGATTTGAACTTATATAATAGACTCATCAGAGATATCAGAGTGCTAGGAGAAAGATAAGTGTTTAATTATAGAGAAATTCCACTCCCACACAGTGGCTGGAAGATTTATGTCCAGGTAACTCCATCCTGTTAGACTGGAGAGAAAGCAGAAGGGCCGCTAGAACAAGTAAGCTGTCAATGGGCAATTTTCTCTTAGTTTTTATTATGAAATTTTCATGCATTTGAATGATGACTATATATTCGTGTGTGTGTGTGTGTGTGTGTGTGTGTGTGTGTGTGTGTGTGTATGTATGTGTTGAGAACTGCTGCCATAGAGAAAACTTACTGGCTTGCTCCTCATGGCTTGCTCAGCCTGCTTTATTATAATAGAACACAAGACCACCAGCCCAGGGTGGCCCCACCCACAGTGGACTGAGCCCTCCCCATCAATCACTAATTAAGAAAATGTGCTATAGGCTTGCCTGCAGCCCAGTCTTATGGGGGCATTTTCTCACTCAAAGTTCCCTCCTCTCAAATGTCTGGCTATAGCTGTGTCAGGTTGACATAAAACTATCCAGCACATGGAATATGGACCCCCCCGAACTCTCTCACAGTAGCCACTGAGAGGTTGCTCTGATCCCTGTTAGGTCTTTCTAACTTCTTTCATACTGGATCCCCAATTTCTACCTCATTGTCCAACTCCTATATGAGGCTACTGAAGGCTCTTGAGAAGAGCCTCCCCTTGCTCCCTCCTCAAATCCCATTCAAGCACTGAAACAGGCCTTAGCTAAAGCATGCACCGTATCACCACCCAATCCTTCCAAATCCTTCCTTCTGTCCCTCCATGCTAACCAAGGCCAGACCCTAGTCTTCGTCTACTCATGAGCAGGAGATACCTATGGTCCTGTCGCATATCAGTCTAAACCAGTCCAAACCCAACCTTCCTGATGCTGTGACTCTTTATTGCAGTTCTTCATGCTGTGGTGACCCCTGACCATAAAATTATTTTCATTGCTACTTCCTAGCTGTTATTTTGCTACTGTTAGAAATTATAATGTAAATATCTGATATTTGTGATATCTGATATGCAACCCCTATGAAAGAGTTGGTCCCGTGCCAAAGGGGTGGAGACCCACAGGCTGAGAACCACTATTAGCTCTTGTTACAAAGGAATGGTCACTCAGCTTACACTGATGCTGCCTTGATCCTTTCAGAAGCCAACAAAATTTCCTCACATAACTTA